ATGTTACATGAATGCCCCAAACCTCTCACTTGTATCTCCAGGTATATTAGCCTCGTATCTCAAGCTAGGTCCCTGCTACCGCCGCCCGGTTTGCCGTCCTCAGGTCTTAACGTTTTCTAAGTTTTTCGGTGCAGTGTACTTATATATAATTCTATATGTTTTTTGCTATAGTTTTATATATAAAAAATTTAGATGTGACAAATCGGTTGACTAATATTGACCTTAATATATATATTTTTTTTGATATTAAGGCAACTTCTCTATTAAATACTTTTATTTGGTTATAGTTATAATTTTTACAGTATAATTTTCACATACCACATATATATTTGGAGAGTACAACTAGTCACACATACAACTTTTGATTGCCTATTTAAGTAGTTTGCTTATTACTAAATTCTATACTAGATATCATACCTATAACCTGACTAGAGGATTATCTATTTAAACCCTCTGTGCCTATATGATTACACTGTTAACCGAGCAAGGATCTATTAGAATACCCTTAGTTTCAAATACTAACTTAAGACTTTAAGACAGATCCTTTACCTCCAAGGACCCTTTATTCTTAAAACAAATCTGCTAGAGCCTTCTATATTCACAATCTAGCTAATCTAGTCTTTAGTTGATATATATAGACCAAGGCTTATCACTTGCGCTCCAGTTTTTATATCAGGTACTATAGCCTGGTCACCACTACACAACTTACTTCTGCCCTTATAAAGTTCACTCCAAACCTTGATACATATATTACAGACTATCTATAGTATCTCTAACTATTTTAAACTACTAATTCAGATAGCCTAGAAGGGCTGTGACCTGCTCCTGGTCCCTGCGGTTAGGTTTTTTTCTTTTGGTTACTCTTCTGGCAGTCTGGTTGGTGAAGTGCCTTGCCAAATACTTCAGTCCTGTTCAGTTTTGCCAGTTCTTCTGATGATAATCTTTTTATATAATACTATTAAAGATCTGTACTACCTCTTTATTCGGGACTTGCCAAGCAAGTGCCTTACTGCTATATCAGCCCTGTGGCTTTCTGCAATCCAAAGACCTATTTATATAACTTATATATTACACAAATGCTTTGAAATCTTTTAGTTCTAATGAATTGGTACGATCACAGTTACAGGGTCTCGAGTTTTCCTGGTCACAACAATAGTTACTGAATCCATTTTCGAAATTTAATTTTTGTCTGCAGTAGGAATTGAACATATACTCAACCGCTTGGGTGCGACAACTTCACCACTTCACTAAGTCGCTATACTTATGACTTTAATAGTTGCCTTATTATTGATTTTAATATTTACTTTAATATTTATTTTAACAAAATAACTACTTATTACCACTGGTGATCATTACTAGTATAGTATGACTATGATCTAATAAATCACATGTTAGTACAGTAATATATATAAAATCGCTAGCAATAAAAAATATATCTCTTTCTTATAACTACTTAGTAATGCTAATGATTTAAGCAATATTGATCATTCAAACTAGCTTTTGTCTTTCGTTACAGTTCAACGTATGTTGTTTAATTTTCTGTTAGTTAATAGAACTTTAATGAAATTTAACTTTAAATTATCTTTTGGTTAGTAGCATCCTTTTTTTGAAACTTTTATCTTAAATATATATAACGTTAGTAACGTTGGTAATATCAAGTTGTTAACAAATAGAAAAGAAAAAAGAAATTATTAGCAGTAGGTTTGAAGAAACTTAACCTGGTCTTGTGAATTCTAAATTCAACAAATTTATACCTGGTTTTACGAATTCCGGAAAGCCTGATTCTGGTTCTGTCAGTTATGGGTTGTTTAGTCTTGTAGATTTAGAGTTTTCTGGTTCTGTGTATTTGGAGTTGCCTAACAATATGAGTTTGGGGTTGTCTGTGCTTGCAAGTTTGAAGGTGCCTGCTTTTAGAAGTGTGAGGTTACCAGGTTCTTTGGGTTCTGAGTCTGATAGCATATTACCTGACACTATAAGTCTTTGTTCTAAAAATATTTCACCTGATCTAAAGATTTTTTGCCTGATGTAGTGAATGCAAGGTTTAGAAATATTCTGCCTGATACTATGAGTTCCGGGTTTCAAGAAGTTTCGCCTGGTGCTATGAGTTCTGGTTACAAGATGTTTCACCTAGTGATATAAATTTTGGATCTCAAGATGTTTCGCCTAGTGCCGTGAGTTCTGGATTTGATATTTCATTTGGTGCTATAAGTTCTGTGTTTCAAGATGTTTTACCTGGTTTTACGAGTTCTGAGTTTAATGATGTTTCACCTGGTACTATAAGTTCTGGGTTTCAAGATGTTTCGCTTGGTGCTGTAAGTTCTGAGTTTAATGTTGTTTCGCCTGGTGCTATAAGTTCTGGGCTCAAAGATGTTTCGCTTAATGCTATGAGTTTCAGGCTTCAAGATGTTTCGTCTGGTATTGTGAGTTCTAAGTCTCAAGGTGTATTGTCTGGTGTTGTGAGTTCTAAGTCTTATGTTGAAGAATTTTCATCTAGCTTTGCTGATTTAGATTTGATAATATTTCAACTAAACTAACATTACATGTAGGAAACTCCTTTAATGATTGGGATGCTATACAATATGCAGTTGATATTTATTCAAAAAAACACGGTTTTGTGGCTATTAAGTTTCATAAGGATCTTGATGCAGTAGATAAATCTATTATTTGACGCTGTGACTATGTTTATTAGAAATCTGGTGTGAATAAGAAAAAAAAAGTAGAGGATATTAGTATATACCGTGATGGTGTTTCGAGTAAGACTAATTGCAAATAGTTGGCTCGATTCTATTTAGAAAAATATACAAATTTGATAACCATTACTAAGATGGAGAATAAACACAATCATATATATAATTTAAGGACTATAGATTTAGCATCAACACATTTACATTTTTCGCAGTTAATTTTATACAAAATCGAGAACTATACAACTGTTGGTTAGTTACGTGCTAGCCAACAATATGATCTTTTAGTAAAGAAATTTCCTGATCAATATATTAAAAAAAAAATTTGTATAATGCCATTAGTAAGTTCAGGGAAGTAAGGGTTCACGATGAATCTGATGCAGCTACAATGCTACTATATTTTTTGAATTAGAAAGATCAAGATCGTGACTTTGTGGTTATTCTACATATAGAAGGTAGTTCTAATGAATTAATAGATGTTTTCTGGATAAATAGTAAACAATACAATGAACTATAGCCCAAATTTCATGATATTATAATTTATGATAATACAGCAAAAACGAACTGATACGAAATAGCTCTTAGCCTTTTTGTTAGAATAGATAGTAATTTTAAATCAAAAGTCCTTGTACAAGCTTTAACCAAATATAAAACACAAGAGATTATAAATAGATTTTGCATTACACTTTGGAAGCGACTAATAATCTTGCACTTGTGGTGTTGTTTATAGACGGAAATCCTGCAATGAGTGCTGCTGTTCATATTGTGTATCCACAAATACAACACTTATTATGCATTTACCATATTAGAGAAAATATAAAGAAGAAGACAAAGTCAAAGCTTCATGGAAATATAATTAAAACTTTCATTAATAATTTTTATCATATGAGAAACAGCCGTAGCAAGGAGAACTTTAAGTTAAGGTATAATGATATGATAACTAAATATGAGCCTTGTCTCTCTTTCCTTGAATCAAAACTATATTCCTGTCATAATTCTTGGATAAGATATGCTATTGCAAAAGTATTCATAGCTGGTGTCGAATCGACTCAACGAGTAGAATTCATAAATAGTATTCTTAAAAAGCATCTTGATCGAGGTACTTTGTTAAAAAAGTTAGTAAAGGCTGTTGAATAAAAGCTAGAAAAAGAATCATACTATACTCACATCAGAGACTATTATGGAACAAATCTATCTTCAGGTCTTCCTTCAACATATAACACTTTTTTTAAGGACATTGATTTAATATTAAAAGATTATTTAGTACCAATACCACTGTCCATTTAACAAGCCCAAATAAACTAATCTTTGTTATACCAGGTGACATTAATTACAAACAAACAAGTAAATGTCTAATTAAAACTATATTTTATATGTTCTATTGAATAATACTAATAGATACTAATATGGTAAATAAGTTTGAAGAACCTGATATTAATCCTGATGCCAAACCTGATATTTTGAAACAGTTGTATGATGTATCTGTAAGCGTCTAATTAAAACTATGTTTCATGTGTTCTGTTGAATAAGTACTAATATAATAAATAACTTTGAGAAACCCGATATCAAACTTGATGCTAAACCTGATTATATTATTGAATATTTGTACAATGTATCACAGATTCTATTGCAAGAACTTTTATCAAATTTATTAAGCAGTGAAATAGAGAAAATTTGGGAGGTTTTTCACATTGCAATGATTTCATCCAAGCTACATTATGTTGTAATCCTTAAAGATTCAACTTTATTATATATACATATGCGAATAATAAACTTAGAAATGATATGCCATTATTAATTTCGTGTTTTTATTCAATCATCCAAGGCAATTTTTCACATTGGACTTATTCATGCGTGCTGGTTCATGTCTACTTCATCTAAAACAAATATGTATATTACAATAACTAAGGGAACCAAAAATTTTACATCTGCATCATTATACTACCTTAATCAAATTCGAGCTGCAAATATGTATATATCTACTATTCAAGCAAATATTAATAAAAAACTTCAGTTTGATAATATAATATCAGTCGCTAAAACTAGTGTGCAAGTTGCAATAGCAGAGGGTACTACAGCTGAATTAATCAGAATTCTTACACAATTTATATCAAAATACCATCGTACTACTAGTTTAAACATAGGAACTCATAATATACAAAATAAAAATGATCAAGCTGAAAATAATGCTTCTATTGGACCTCATAACCAACAACCTTTAACTGATCTGAATTTAAACTGTAATCTTGCTGAAGTTTCTAATCCAGAATATCATAAGCCTAGATGTTATCCTCCAAAAAGACTTAAGGCATCAACTGAAGAAGCTACTAAACAAACTTGTGAACAGAGAATATGTAGTT